CAGAGCACGCACTGGAAATGGGGATGTGGTGGGGAATGGAGGAGAGATGTACGTGAGAGTGGATAGGTAATCTAAACCACAAGTCGGGTGAGTTCAATGGGGCAGAGCACATCTGGCAATTCATGACGGGGCGGGCGAGAGCATAGACTACTCATGGGCCGGGGAAACAGGTCACTCACCTCAACAGGGTAGGTAGAGTAGGCCTTGCACGGGTTGTCCTGGCTAGTTGTCGTCCCCGCCGCCTCGTTAACGATCCATTGCTGCTGTTCAGGCGTGCGCGGCGTGTTCCGTGCCTTGACAGCACTCAGATGCTCCTGTTGTAGCATGGGGCCGAGGGATGGGATAGAAAAGGTAAGGGTGGTAGCTATGTGGGTTCGCTCAGGCGAGCCACAAACGGGAATGTAATTGAATGCGTGCAGATGGCATGTGACCTCACCTTTGCAGCATAGCAGATGCTGCACGGCATCCGCGATCCATGCGAGAGTGTGCAACTGATTTTGCCGCTCTCGGGGTAGTCGCACACCCAGGCGTACAGCAGGGGCCGCACGGTTTGCCAATCTCCGAAAGGGTCCCTGAGACGGAACCCGCTGCAAGGAATGGAGTGAGTGGCAACAGGCATTCAAGGTTGCGGCTTTTAGGGAGGAACGACGAGGGGCAAAGGGCCATGCTACATACAGAGAGGGTTTGCATACCATGCAGGTGGTGAGATGATGTCTTAGCAAGATGCAAACCGAGTACGGACCTGGCGATGCCATCAAGAAGCGGCTGCAGCACGGTGATGACGCAACGCTGGAAGAGCATCACCTTCTCCACGGCAGACATTGCAGATGGGGGGATTGGAAGGAGGGCAAGTAGTGTGTGACCGGCTTTCCCCCATCGCTTGGCCTGGGCGATGTTCGCCAGCGTCATCATGAACGGCCACGCCTTTTTCCGGCCGTTGTTGCTCATGTGCGTCACATCCGAATATAAGATGAACCCCCCCACAACTTCGGACCAACCGAAGTGTTCCTGCAGTGCACGACAAAGCGGCAACGGACACACGGTTTAACACTCAAGATGCTCTTGAGAGATCAGTGCTGCGATGGATGCATGACTCAGGATTGGGTTTGGGGTGGCAACGTGGTCTTTCCTTACCTGAGCATCATTCCACCACGTTCCTGTTTCGGGCGTGGTATAGCGACGGCCGCCTGCGTCAGGGTCCTCATCTACACGCGCCTTGAGCTTGAAGCCGGGCGCGTTGTTGGGATGTCCAAACATTTCAGCGAATGCCTGGTGTACGGTGGCGAAAGCAGGTGAGAGGAGAGGCATGGTTCGTGGCAGAGAAGGTGGGTGTACGGTTAATACAAGGATAACTAAGTACATGCAAACCCTGTGTGCCTCATCATCATTTCACGGCCTTGAATGCAAAGTCGGCTTACCTGGGCTGAGTTCTGGAAGAGCAAGCGCTGTGGTGGATGACCGTCAATCTCGAAGGTCGCCACCGACCATCCACGATTGAGCCCTGCCAAGCGCTCCAACTCGAACCGCTCCAGATCCTTACAGTTCCGGAGCTCCGAGTTCACAAGAGGCGCAAGGCCGGGCTCTACGACTAGCTGAAGCAGGCCGTTGATGTCAACCTCGGCCATTCCCATTCCGCCATTCACGCGCCGGACGAAATGCAGTAGCTTCAACGCGAGCGGATTGAGGGGCATGGCATTGCTCTGTCCGGAGATGACGGTTGGCGGCGCGGCATGACTCCCTTCGGGCCGGCTCTCAGGATGGTCAGTCGTCTCAGCCGCAGGAGCTCCATGCCGTGGTTGATGTTCATCTTCAGGAGGCCCCTCGTTCACGTCGTTGGGAGTTTCGTCAACGTGAGCATCAGGAACGCGTGGAGGTCGGCTCACACTGACGGCGTTGGATGCGTTAGACGCTGTAGGTGAACCGGGAGCGGCTGGAGCGTCCGACAGAATGTCGTGGACGAATAGCAAAGCGTGAAGACCGGCGGTCGGTGCAGATCGCGTGGGCCTCACCACGGCGGATAGTCCTTGGCAAGGGGTCCGCCGTGACTTATGACCGCCATAAACTTGGGCGTTGGGGAACCATCTGTTGCAGAACTCGCAAACGACGCCTGGTAAAGAGCCCATCAGTTACGGATCCGTTGTAGAGTCGAGACCTGGCCTATGAAGCTACTACCCGTGATGAAGCTTGTGAACGCATTAACTACCCCGTTCAAGAAGTCTGTGACAGCTACACGATCATCGCCAATGCGCGCACTGTGGTGGGCGGCTTGTATCACTGCACGACTGGCACTTGACGCACGCGCTAATGTATATGACTGGCTAACGTTGTCGAGCCGCGTGGTCATTACCAGGCACGATACAGACCGCCCATAGCACGGGCCGTCTTCCCTACAAGGCGTGTCGCCCCCGTTTACAGCGACCACGACGTGGCCAGGGGAGATGCACTGGATCTTAAGTCTCATGGTCGTGTGTGTGATTCGCAAGCAAGGCGAGAAGGACGTGCCTATTGAGTCTAGAATAAGTGTTTATGAACTGTGCGTGAGAGTCGAGGAGGATGAGGAAGAGCGGGAAGAGATCCGTTTGGATCTCTGATTGTGTCGCGAATCGATATAGCCTCAAAATCGGAACTACGTAGGTGAGCTACAGAGGCGTCAAACAAACCTGGAAATGCATATGTACAGTTACAACTTAACAAGAAACTCGTATCATTCATAAATAGTAAACATTCATATCCTTGGGACTGTTCTTGAACAATCCTTACTCGATAACGATACGGGAACTACCCGGTAACTCCATGCCGTAACGTATGATTGGTGCTTGGAGCAAATACATATATCGTGCCGCACCGTGAAGAACGAATATCCAAGAATGGATGGCTGTCGATAACGCATCTACGCTTGTGCGTTGGGCCTGTGCTTCATACCACTCCTTCTAAGCACCTTGTGTAATGTCTGTGCAAGAATGGATGACAATCCAACACCATACCACAACGGATTCACCAAGTCGCGCAACGCGGAGGCCTGAACGATGCATCGTTGCACAGTCTAAACATGGCTGTCGATAACGCATCTACGCTTGTGCGTTGGGCCTGCGCTTCATACCACTCCTTCTAAGCACCTTGTGTAATGTCTGCGCAAGAATGGATGACAATCCATCACCATACCACAACGGATTCACCAAGTCGCGCAACGCGGAGGCCTGAACGATGCATCATCGCACAGTCTAAACATGAATGTCGATAACGCATCTACGCTTGTGCGTTGGGCCTGTACTTCATACCACTCCTTCTAAGCACCTTGTGTAATGTCTGTGCAAGAATGGATGACAATCCAACACCATACCACAACGGATTCACCAAGTCGCGCAACGCGGAGGCCTGAACGATGCATCGTCGCACAGTCTAAACATGAATGTCGATAACGCATCTACGCTTGTGCGTTGGGCCTGTGCTTCATACCACTCCTTCTAAGCACCTTGTGTAATGTCTGTGCAAGAACGGATGACAATCCAACACCATACCACAACGGATTCACCAAGTCGCGCAACGCGGAGGCCTGAACGATGCATCGTCGCACAGTCTAAACATGAATGTCGATAACGCATCTACGCTTGTGCGTTGGGCCTGTGCTTCATACCACTCCTTCTAAGCACCTTGTGTAATGTCTGTGCAAGAATGGATGATAATCCAACACCATGCCACAACGGATTCACCAAGTCGCGCAACGCGGAGGCCTGAACGATGCATCGTCGCACAGTCTAAACATGGCTGTCGATAACGCATCTACGCTTGTGCGTTGGGCCTGCGCTTCATACCACTCCTTCTAAGCACCTTGTGTAATGTCTATGCAAGAATGGATGACAATCCAACACCATACCACAACGGATTCACGTTTGTTATTATTGATAATCGTGTTAGAATGACGTCCGCTGGCCCTAAACCATTGTGGCAAAGCCTAAAAGTGCGCAGTACATCTTTCCTAAGTAATAATTCAAGACGGTCGTTGTGTGTGTGACGTGAGAATCACCGATTAACTTACCCCAACCCCGTACAAAACCAGTTGCAACTTAGAGTTTGATGAAATGCGTTGTTACTTTGCAACCGAAAACACTGTACTTTGCAGGGATTTGACTCATTTCGCACTGTAGGTTTCACACCAGGTTTACCCTTTGTTGTGATTGATGTGTTGGCAACCGTCATTGGCCGACGCATCTCAAACGATTCCCCCCGCAACACAGTCATCAGCCAAGAGGTACTTCAGCCATTGGGCGGCTAAGATCGAGCGGAAGGTGGGTTTATGCTAGGGTGGCTACACGTACACCGTCCAATGTAGCCTGATAGGGTTACATTTCTCTCTCTAGTCTCGCAACTCACCCCAACCACCCTCGTGCCCCACCCACCTGCTTCCGTCACTCCCTGGGCCAACACTTTGACGCTGCTCGTTGCCTTGACACACGCCTCTCCAGATCGGCCTTAGCGCGAAGCATAGTGGCTACTATTTCAGACTTAGTTGAAGCGGCTATTTTCGTAAACACATAACAGTGATAGACGGCCGATTATGCCTTCGTGGGATTCAGTAGCAAAACCCTTTCGAAACCGGCTCAACCCTTCCGCGCGATTTGCAACTTTGCTCTTCCTACGATTACCATGACACGTGCAACACGTAACCAAGCAATGGAGGAGGAACAGGCCGGCCGCCGCGCGACAAGGGGGACGTCTAAACAAATCGATAGGGAGAGTGGTGGCAGCGCTAAAAAAAACAATGCGTTCGTCGCTCGTGGCATTGGGCCGAAAAAAGCGGCGGCAAAAAAGGTCGCGCGCGGTCAACAGGAGGCCGGCAAGAAAGCGGCAGACAAGGGGCCTAAACCAACGCCACGCAAGCGTACAAAGCTGCGGATGGTGCCTCTGCTGGAACCGAGCCCGGTCCGAGTAAAGACGGCACCACTGGCGGCAACGAAGATCCGGGGCGAGGGAGCGCGAGTCTTGCACTCCCGTCGGCGGAGATGGAGGGTTCGGCGACAGGGGGAAATCACGGAGGCGATCCTCGCGCCGAGCATGCCGCAACCAAGGAGTCTGAAGAGGCGGCAACGCAACACCATCTGACGCTGCTCCAGCCGAGCGTGGTCCAAGTTTCTGCAGCCGTGCTGGATAAGGACAAGGTGGCACAGCACGAGTCGGTGGGGCTGGTCGGTGGCTCTCCTCCTTCTGGTGGACGGGGAAGGCGTAGGCAAAGGAAGAGCGATGGGGAGGAGGATGATGACACCGCCGTGCCCGGGGACCTCACCACGCGGGCGAAGAGGCGCCAGACGACAGGTAGTGCTGACAACGCCGGAGGCGTGGAAGTTGACACACCGCGAGGCGCCAAGGAAGCTAGTGGCAAGGCGTGCGGTCAAGCATTGCGCCAGAAGGGCCGCCCCGCAGCAAGAAAAGCATCTGGCGGAAGGAGAGGCAAGAAAGCGGCGACAGGAACGAGGCCGAAACGGGGCGATGAAGACCCCGGTGATACGGAGGAGGAGGAGGATGAGGAGGAGGATGTGGAGGGAGAGGAGGATGAAGAGGAAGCGGAGGAGCAAGACGCGGATGTTGGGGAGGATGCTAAAGATGAGAATGATGGCGGGGAGGACGAAGAGGAGGAGGAGGAGGAGGAGGAGGAGGAGGAGGAGGAGGAGGAGGAGGAGGAGGAGGAGGAGGGGGATGAGGAGGAGGAGCAGGGTGACGAGGAGGAGGAGGAGGAGGAGGAGGAGGAGGAGGAGGAGGAGGAGGAGGAGGAGGAGGAGGATGTGGCGCCAGGGAAGAGACGGGGCGGGCGTGGCGGTCGGGTGAGTGGGACAGGGAAGGAGGGGGGCCGGACTCACCCTTCCCGAAAACGCGGGGCAGGTGACGCTGCGCGCGGCGAAGCAGCGGGCAAACCAAAGGCGCGTAAGGTGAAGGTCGAAAGTGAAGGGGTTGGTAAAAAGCAAGGGAGCCAGGGTGCAAAAGGGGATGGAGGAGGAAAGGGTGGCCGCGCCAAAGGGGTTCGAGTGGGTACCGGCAAGAAGGAACCTGCCGGTAAACGTCGCAGCGTGCGCCGAAGCACCCCGCGGAAAGGTGGCAACGAGAACGCGCAGGCTGCCCCAAAACCGAAGGGACAACAGAAAGGTGAGCATTGTGTCCAATACAACTGGCGTGACGTGTTAAACAATCTGCTAAACCGTCCCAAATAACACCCTTTATTCACATTGTTTCTCTCCTGCAGGGAAGGAGAAGGTTGACGAATCTGCCAAGCAAGGTAAACCCTCTTGTCTCAAACCAGTACAACCCTAAACCCGATCTAGATTCAAACCTTTCTGAATATGCATGCATGTCTGGCCCCGCCTTGAAACCGATCGACTCCAATTTTTATTTTCCCACTCCCTCTACATCTCAGCCCCTCGCGTTACAGGCATTGGGCCGCCCTTAAGCGTGCAACGAATGCATCTAACAAAGGCTGCCGGAATAGCGAGTGTTACACCGCTCTCGTCCGGCGCACCAAGGTTCTACACGCCATGGGCCGGCCCCAGCAAAGTCGCTGCGACGGCACCCGGCGCGCCAAGAGGAGAGGAATCCGAATCCCCTCCACCCGTCCTCGTCACGCACTCCTCACTCGCCTCACCCTCGTACCCATTTCGGCAACTCCACGCTTCTCCTGTCCGGGGCAGGGCGGTCTCCCCCATTGCCGGTCCTTCGCGCGGGCATCAGGCAGGCACTTATGCCAAACCCTTCCCTGAGCTCCCCTTTTCCCGCCAGCGTGATAGTGTGAGGGCACACGGGACTGCTGCAGAAGACGTTGATACCCTTGGCCAGAGGGGGGATTCTTCACACCCTTTTCCTCCGCTCATGGGTGCCCTAGGTGAAAGTGAGGAGCACGAGCAGTTTGTTACACGGGAGGAGTTCCAGGCGCTGCGGTCTGAGATGTACGCCATGTTTGCACAGCTCGGCCTGCGTCGTGGAGTACCTGCCAGCTATGCCGGCGAGTCGGCAGCCCTGCCTATGGCTGGTACCCCGCCGCCGATGAGCGCCGTGGACAAGGCACGAGTGCTAGTGTTGCAGGAGACAAACCCATTCCCGGTATGTGGCGGGCCAAATGGGGCGGGTTGGGGTTGACGTGGCAACAAGGTCGGGGTTGGGGCTGACGTGGCGGGTTTGAAGGGAATACGGGAGCGGCGCGTGACGAGGCGACGTGTATCAGGTGGGTGGGGGGTGACGTGGCATGGGGTGGGTGGGTGTGACGTGGCAAGTGGGTCGGGTTGTTGGTGAACGTGGCGGATGCAAGTGCGTGTGACATGGCAAAAGGTGAGGGTTGGGATATGACGTGGCGGTGTGAAAGGGTGCAAGGGAGTGCCGCATGACGGAGCGAGGCGTTTCAGGTGGGTGGGGGGTGACGTGGCTCTTGGTGGGGGGTGTGACGTGGCTCTTGGTGGGGGGTGTGACGTGGCAAGTAGGGCGGGTTGTTGGCAGATGCAAAAGGGTGTGGCGTGGCAGAATGGGAGGGTTGGGGCTGTCGTGGTGGTTTGGAATGGTACACAGGAGCCGCGCGTAACGAGGCGACGCGTGAGAGGTGGGTGGGGGGTGACGTGGCATGGGGTGGGAGGGTGTGACGTGGCACGTGGGGCTGGTTGTTGGTGGACGTGGCGGATGCAGGAGGGTGTGACGTGGCACGTGGGGCTGGTTGTTGGTGGACGTGGCGGATGCAGAAGGGTGTGACGTGGCGGAAGGTGAGGGTTGGGGAAGACGTGGCGGATGCAGGTGGGTGTGACGTGGGGGAAGGTGAGGGTTGGGGATGACGTGGCACCCTACAAGGGTACACGTGAGCGGCGCATGACAAAGCGAGGCGTTTCAGGTGGGTGGGGGGTGACGTCGCTCTTGGTGGGGGTGTGACGAGGCAAGTAGTGCGGGTTGTTGGCGGATGCAAAAGGGTGTGGCGTGGCGGCATGTGAGGGTTGGGCCTGACGTGGCAGTTTGGAATGGTACACAGGAGCGGCCACTGACGAGGCGACGCGTGTCAGGTGGGTGGGGGGGTGACGTGGCATGGGATGGGAGGGTGTGACGTGGCACGTGGGGCTGGTTGTTGGTAGACGTGGCGGATGCAGGAGGGTGTGACGTGGCACGTGGGGCTGGTTGGTGGACGTGGCGGATGCAGGAGGGTGTGACGTGGCGGAAGGTGAGGGTTGGGGATGACGTGGCGGATGCAGGTGGGTGTGACGTGGGGGAAGGTGAGGGTTGGGGATGACGTGGCACCCTACAAGGGTACACGTGAGCGGCGCATGACGAAGCGAGGCGTTTCAGGTGGGTGGGGGGTGACGTCGCTCTTGGTGGGGGTGTGACGTGGCAAGTAGGGCGGGTTGTTGGCGGATGCAAAAGGGTGTGACGTGGCAGCATGTGAGGGTTGGGGCTGACGTGGCGGTTTGGAATGGTACACAGGAGCGGCCACTGACGAGGCGACGCGTGTCAGGTGGGTGGGGGGGTGACGTGGCATGGGATGGGAGGGTGTGACGTGGCACGTGGGGCTGGTTGTTGGTGGACGTGGCGGATGCAGGAGGGTGTGATGTGGCACGTGGGGCTGGTTGGTGGACGTGGCGGATGCAGGAGGGTCTGACGTGGCGGAAGGTGAGGGTTGGGGATGACGTGGCGGATGCAGGTGGGTGTGACGTGGCAGCATGTGAGGGTTGGGGATGACGTGGCGGTTAGAAAAGGTACACGTGACAACTGCGCATGACGAAGCGAGGCGTGTCAGGTGGGTGGGGGGTGACGTGGCTTGTGGTAGGGAGGTGTGACGTGGCAGAATGGGCCGGGTTGTTGGTGGACGTGTCGGATGGCGCAGGGTGTGACGTGGCAAGTTCACACAGTGTTGCTAGTCACAATCCCATGGTCACGCGGCCACCCACATAACTGCTGGTTTCTCTCTCCCATGTCGTGTTGTATACCTTACACCACTGCGCAGAACAAAGCCTACTTAGTGTGCTCTCAGCTCATGTTTCTGAACCCGCCGGAGAAAATACAGTACTACCCTGCACCGGAGGAAGTGTTCGAAGCGTTCTCTATCCACTTGTCTGCAGAAGGGCTCGAGGCAATGAAGCTGCTGTGGTTGCACAATGACAAGTCAACCATGGGAGTCTTCAACCACCAGCTGTCCTCAACAAGGTCAACTATCAACTCCACCCTCAGGCCAGCAACATACACCGGCATGGGCCTTGCTGATTACAGCCATCTCGTGGATAGCCTGCCCACTGAGCTACACCCAACGACCTGGTTCGATGACGTTCAACTCCTAGCCGAGTACAGAGATGGTATGTGCAACTCGAAAACACAATATGCCCTACCATATGCCAGTTGGCAGCTACATATCACCGTGCGATGTGGCTCACCCTGACACTCATCCCCCCACTTGATTTCTCTACAAAACCCTTTCCAACCCATACCCTCCCTGCCAAAAAACAGAACAGTGGGCCCTCAACTGGCACTTTGACAAGGCCACCGGGACGCCCTTCAGCAACCCCTTGTTCGCTTATGCGTTCAAGATCTCCTTCAAGAGGGGCGGGGCGGTGTTCACCAAGTTCAAGAGCCGCATGGTGGCATGGGGCCTGTTTTCGGTAAGGATGTAGATATGTGTTTGTACCCCCATGCCTCATCCCCTTAACCCCTTGCCTGTACTTCAACCCTAATCCCTGGTCGATTAGGCCTTTGCAGTTACGTAGATAGTGACGACTGCATCACCGCTTTCAGTTGCCTCATTTACCCGTAACCTACCCTCCTCATAAACCACCCACCCAACCCTACTACACCACATTGCAGATCGAATGGCCCCTTCTGCAGGATAAGCGTCGCAAGCGAATCAGTAGCCAGCCAGAGCAGAACAGGCCAGACTACCAGGAGTGGTGCGAAAAGGTCAAACAGATGATCCATTTTGCTGTCGTGGAGCGGAGGATCCCCCACGATCCGACTATGGGTGCGTTCGTCTTTCCGAACAAGTTCCTCATCGACGACGGCGACCTTGGAGATGTCGTCCTTGCCCACCGGGCGCTTTCAAGGCCCGCCAATGCGTAGGCTATTTGACCTGGTGCTAAGACTGATTGTTGCTAGCATCTGAATAATGGTTCTTGTAAACCGCAATAATAAATGCAATTTTGAAATCCCCAAAATCCAAAATGAACAAAAACAGAATTTAGTATTGAATAAATTGGTCACGAATTTGCAACAAAACGGATTGCGTCGGAATGTCATCCGGAAAAGCTCGCGTGCCAAATTGGAACTTGAACCGAGCCAAGCCTTGTCGCGAGATGTGTCTCGGAGCTCCTATCAAATGACTCCAACCGCCGGTCCAAATTGGCTACGGATTTTTTTACGCGAAGACAATCGAAATCAAAATTCGACCAAACTTGGCATAGGGTTTTTGTGATGGGGCTGCCTTGTGCTTGTCTGCAACAGTTCTGCGGACAAGCTCTCGGCTCGCGCCATCCCCAGTGTCTTCCTTGGTTTCCCAATGGGCTCTCCCAACTACTCCTTTTACCACCCCCCCCCCCCCCCCCCCCCCACCAGTTCCTCGATTCTCGTGACGTCCGGTTTGAGGAGTCAGCGTCTTACTACACCCGGTACCCCTGTCGATGTCTCCCGGTTCACCCTCCCCCCCTCTTCCTCGCACCCTCTCCTCCCCCTACTCCCGCTCCTCCGGTACCCCCGCCACCCCCCCGTCCTACCCCGTCAGGTGTACAGTATCTCACGCTACCCCTTTCCCATCAGCCGTGCGTCAGGTAGCGTCTCCCTCCCCGCAGTCCTCCTCACAGTCCCCCTAGCAGCCTTAGGCACTTCCGCGACAGGTTATTGTTGACTCAGGTGGTGTTGGAGCTGGAGATGGTGCCACTGGAGGTCCTCGGACTGAGGGCGCTCGTTGGAGAGGTGTCGGAGCTGGAGTTGCTAGCTCCGGGCTTGCTGGAGCTGGAGGTGCTAGCTCTGGGGGTGTTTGAGCTGGAGGTGCTGGCACTGGAGGTGCTAGCTTTGGGGGTGTTGGAGCTGGAGGTGTAGGCACTGGAGGTGCTAGTTCTGGAGGTACTGGCGCTGGAGGTGCTAGTCCTGGGGATGATGGAGCTGGGGGTGCCGATGCTGGAGGTAGTGGTACTGAGGAGACGGGAGCTGGCGGCTCGCCCCCACCCCGCTACTACATACGTCTCCAAGCTCTTCACCTGTTGGAGCAGGAGAGGCAGCAGCTGCAACTGTTAGATCTGCAGGAGCAGCAACAGCAACAACAGCAGCCACCGCAGCCCGGGGTCCCACCAGTGAGTGGCCTTCGGGCCCTTGGTCTTCCCTCCCCTCCTCCTGTCCACCCACAGGCTTCGCCCGCGTACGGTCCTACGTTTCCTCCTCTGGACCCGTCTCCAGCTGTTTTCCCTCCTCCTCAGTCACTGTCACCTCCTCCTGTTTTCCTGAACGACTGGACTGCTCGTTGTCCCGTGCGTGCTCATCCCTCGTCTCATCTTGCCGACCTCCGCACTGTCTTGTTTGGTTCCAGTCCTCATCGTACTCCACCAGAGTCTGTTCTCTCGTCACCTCCTGCGTCGCCTCTCACTGTCTCCTCTCACCCTATGACTGACTACTACCGTACGGCTCGTCCTGTTGTCTCGCGTGTTCTCGCCTCTCTTGTCACCGACTCTCGTGCCTCTCCGTTGTCTGTCTCAGCTCTCACTGCCGATGTCAGTGACTTTGCGTCCACCCGCCGCCTTGACTTCACCACGCGTGTCGTGGCTGCCCCGCCTGCCCGTCCTGAGGCCGCCTGGGGGGGGGTTGCCCTTTGGTGTGACGTCCTCAAGGACAGACATTTTGAGCTGGAGTTCCAGGCAGCCGCTTCGCCCTCTCTCTGTGCCATGCTGCTTTCCCTAGAGGGAGACCCCGACGCCCTTGACATACTGACTCCTCGCACGTACCATGAGGCAGTATCAGGGGAGTGGGCCTCTTAGTGGAAAGCGGCCATGGACCCAGAGTTGGCATCTTGGAGATACACAGGTACCTACGCCGACGCAGTTCCCCCTCCCAGGGCAAAGATTGTCGATGGCATGTGGCTCTTCAAGGTGAAGCAGCCGCCTGGATCACCGCCTGTGTTCAAGGCGCATTACGTGGCTAGGGGCTTCAGTCAGCATGATAGAGTTGACTTCTTCCAGACCTTTGCCCCGACCCTGAAGATGACTGCTCTTCGGGTGTTACTGCACGTAGCAGCACAACGAGACTACGAGTTGCACTCTCTTGACTTCTCCACTGCTTTCCTCCAGGGCCGCTTACACGAGGAGATCTGGCTGTGCCGCCCTCCTGATTTCACTGAAACCTTCCCACCTGGGACCCAGTGGAGCTTGAGGCGACAAGTCTACGGTCTCCGCCAGTCACCCCGTGAGTGGCACGACACCCTGCGCTCCACGCTTCGTGACCTAGGGCTTCGTCCCTCCTCTACTGACCCGTCGCTGTTTGTTCGCACTAGCTCCACTCCCTTCTTTATCCTGGTCTACGTTGACGACTTGGTGTTTGCTACAGTTGACAGGGCAGCACCAGCGGAGGTGGAATCCGAACTGCATAAGAGACGCACGTACACCGACCTCGGCGAGCTGCAGCGCTACCTTAGCCTGCAGATCACTAGGGGCAGAGCCGCTCGCACCATCACACTGACTCAGTCACACATGGTGAGCAGGTCCTTTGGCGGTTCGGATTTCAATTCTTCACCACACATCCCACTCCTCTTGCTGTTGACCACCGTCTCACTGGCCCTTTTCCCGACGAGCCCTTTGAGTCTAGTGGTCCTTACGCAGAGCTTGTGGGAAGCCTCATGTACCTGATAACTTGTACTCGGCCAAACCTCGCCTTTCCCCTCAGCGTCCTCTTTCCGCTTTGTTGCAACTGGGAAACACCGTCCTGTTCACTGGACAGCTGCTGTGAGGGTGGCGAAGTACCTGGCGACTACATCAGGCATGGGGTTTGCGCTTGGAGAGACACAGCTAGTTGAGTTGACGGGTCATTGCGACTCTTCCTACGCTGACGACGCAGAGACCCAGCGTTCAACTCAAGGTTACTGTTTCCGTCTGGGTGCTGGTGCTGTGTCGTGGAGGTCCACACGGTTGTCGTCTATGGCTTCGTTCAGTGCAGATGCAAAGATCTACGCTGGTTTCATGGCGCCACAGGAGCTTCGCTGGTTGACCTTGGTGAGCGGCCTCGCTCTGCGCCGACCCTGTACACTAACAAAAAGGCCATGATCCTCGTGTGTCGAGAGCCTCGACTGGAGAGCAAAGTGGAGCATATTGACGTGAGGTACTTTCTCCTATGAGAGCTACAGCGATGCGACCAGGCATGCTTGGACTTTGTGGCCTCAGAGGCCAACACTACTGACGTCTTCACCAAGGTCTTGGTGCCTGGTGACCACCACAGGTTTTGCGTGCAGCTAGGGCTTGTTGAGGTAAGCCCTTGCTTGCTGTAGTGTTGCCCTTATATATATTGGTTCTTGAGACCCACCCTGAGCTTGCTTTGCTTCTTGCCTTGACTGGTCTCTTGATCGTTTGTTCACCCTGCTTGCTTAGATGCCCCTCATTTAGCCTATGGGGGTCAAATGCTATTATTTGTTATAGGCTAAAGTAAGGTGCTCTCTAGAGGGGATAACCCACTTAGGGTTTCCTATTTGTATCCAACTGCTGCCTAGTTCGTTCATTCCGTTGCATTCACTTTCCAAGAAGCCTGCATTTCAATATGAGGTGTAATACCGTGTTTGTTTGCCATCTAATCATGCTCTAGTTACGGAATTGTTGTGAGGCCTGAGGCTCTAAGATAATCGTCAAGCTGTAGAATCTCCTCATATGGTAATATAATCCTTTGCGAACTACAGCGGTAGCAGAGATAAGTTTTTGTTCAGCAGGGAGCCACTATTCATTTGCATGTTTTCAAGAAAATTCAAGAAAAATGTTCACTTAGCTTGAGACGGAATAAGACGCTAATTTTATAGCGTCAATTCGTTAGGTCAGTCAGCAATGACACATCCCGCTACGGTAGATTGAAGGCACGGTTGGTGTAGAGTGTCAAAAAGGCATGTTTAGGGTGCCAAGTCGAGATGAAAATTGGGCTTAGGTATTGAAGACCAAGAATATTTTCCCCTTCAAGTCGTTGAACAAATTGGGCAAGCTGGCTTGCAATGCAGGAGAGGCCAGGCAGGCCTGCACGTGATGGCTGCAAGAGCAGACGGTCGCGTTGGTGCTGGTAGAGATGTTGGGCCAAAAGAGGGAGGAACTTGGTTTTGGAAGTGTATCATGGTCCACGAGTGTTGTGAGGAGTGCAGTGAGGAGTGCAGTGGGGAGTGCAATGAGGAGTGTCGTTAGGAGTGCAGTGGGGAGTGCAGTGAGGAGTGCAATTAGGAGTGCAGTGAGGAGTGCAGTGAGGAGTGCAGTGAGGAGTGCAGTGAGGAGTGCAGTGAGGAGTGCAGTGAGGAGTGCAGTGAGGAGTGCAGTGAGGAGTACAGTGAGGAGTGAAGTGAGGAGTGCAGTGAGGAGTGCAGTGAGGAGTGCAGTGAGGAGTGCAGTGAGGAGTGCAGTGAGGAGTACACACTACAACGAGGGTGATGTGGACTTTGACAACAAGGACGCTTGTTGACTTGGCAAGGAAGAGTGCAAGGCGTTGGTGCGTGAGCGATACTGAGTCTGAGGGAGTGGTTACGGTGTGTGGGGTGGTGATGTTCACGCTATTCATGAGATTGCGCCCAAACTGGTTCGCAGAAGGGTGAAGCCAAGGATGTGGAGCGGCTTCTGGGGTCTGGGTGTCATAATGCAGGAGTGCAGAGAGGACTAGGGAGAACATGTTTGAGAGAGCAGCCAGGGACTTTGTTAAGTAGCAGTAAAAAAATACTGAAAACATCAAGCGTAGTGATTATCGATAGTTGCGTGGTTTATTATCTGCCGACCTGCTATAGGAGGAGGGTGAAAAGGTTAATTCATAACTTTGTCCTAGGGAATAAGGGAAATGTGGAGCAAGACATTACGCTGGGGAGTCACAAGCCGATGTACACAGCAAGGAAGCAAAGAGGGCTGTCGATGGTTAACCCCAAGGAACGAGTTGATAGCTGAGTGCTCCCAAGTGTGGGCCTAGCAATCAGGCAAAAATAAGGTGACTTTTGAGTCGACTCAACAGTCACCTAGTTGATAGCTTAGTGCTCCAAAGTGGGTCTGGCAATCAAGTAGAACTGCCCAGTGGCAACAGGGTTCTTGCACATTTGGGCCACTTTGTATGAGCACCCATTGATCCGGAAACATTGGGGTGGGGGGGGAGCAAGATGGAAGGAGTTGGCATCAAATGATAATGAAAACACTGTCGGCTCAAATGGAGAAACAAGCCATTACATTGTCCAACTAGCACAAAGGAAGTGGCACAAAACCAATCTCTATGTCTGGTGAATCACATGTGAGTGACTCTCTGCTCATGTGTTGCGTTGACTGCTTGCATCATGCGCCTGACAACCCCTTTCACCTGCACTCTCAAGTTCGAACATCCCTCCCATCCCTCTGACATGGGCCGGACATAGAGACTTATGACCCAGAACCGGCCTGAGTGAGTTCGGGTCATTTCCGGACGGCATGGGCAGGAGAGTGTGGATTGGAACGCGTCAGCGTGGGCTGGGACGGATCGGGACTGGTTGGGACGACCGGGACGGGTTGGAACGGGTTGAGATGGGTTGAGACGGGTCGGGACTGGTTGGGACGAGTCGGAACGGGTTGGAATGGGTCAGGATAGGTTATTAAGGGCCGGGCCTGGTTGGGACGGATGGGGTGGGAGGAGTGCTGGGTTGTTAGACCTGCAGCAGCACCTGCACCTACTTGGATGGACCTGACTCAGTGACACATGGTGCAGCGGTTCAAGACTCACCGATGTAAAGGGTGCCGTGCAGCCTATGTTATTAATGAGCTGCACCTGTAGGATGGTGTTGGGTTGCCTGCACCTACACCTGCTCGGATGGACCTGACTCGGTCACACATGGTGCAGCGGTTCAAGACTCACCGATTCAAACATGCGGTGCAGCCTATGTTCATTATAAGCTCATGGATGCGTCAACGTTCGAATGCCTGTGAGCGTCCATGGCCGCATCACATAGGGTGCAACACCCCGTCCCTCCAGAGTTCAAATGCCTATGCTGAAAATTGGAATAGCCATTGCTCCACAGCCTTGCACGAATGGAGGAGAGAGAGGCACAGCCGGGCTCACTGATTCAAGTATCCGTTACAGCACGCCGTCCCTCTGCCGCACCTGCACCTTGCGGTGCATGTTGTCCTATCTGCAGTGAGTTAGAACCTCCTCTCACCGGCAATCGTTAGAGACTCACCAATTCGCATATGCGGTGCAATGCAACAGACACTTCACAATGTGGGGGTTGAAGCGCCCTACCACAGGCAGTACAGAGATCAAAGCCCACTCACTCTAGGCAGGCAAGATAGCTGTAGCACGCCGCCACTATGGGGAAGGCCTATGGCAAGGGGGGAGATAAGGGGGAGAGAACAGGGGGAAGAGAGGGGAAACCAAGAGAGGGGGGATGAGAAGGAAGGAGGAAAGGCTGATGAGGGAGGGGGGGAGGGAAAACAAGACGGGGCTTGGAGTGAGGTGAGAGAGGGATGAAGCGAAGTGGGGTTACAAGCAGAAGGTGGAGCGCAACCAGGGCGGGGCAACACGGGCGGGTAGCTGTAGCAGGCAGCACAGAGGCCAAAGCCCGCTCGCTCCGGGCAGTCAAGGCAGCTGTAGCGCGCCCCCACTATGGGGAAGGCCTGGTGGGGGTAGAGAGAAGGGAGGGGAAGAAACTGATGTGTGGCCCCACATACAGTGCAACAGCTGCACTCCTGACACCTGTAGCGCGGCCCCACTATGGGGAAGGCCTGGTGGGGGTAGAGAGAAGGGAAGGGAGGGAAGTGATGCGTAATCCCACACACACTGCAAAAGCTGCAGTCCAGACATCTGTAGCACGCCCCCACTATGGGAAGGCCTGGTGGGGGTAGAGAGAAGGGGGTGGGGAAAGGGGGCAGAGAGAGATGAAATCAAGAGAGGAGGATAGAGAAGGTAGGGTAGGAAAAACACAGGGTTAGGGGACGAGACGGGCGGAACAAGGAAGGTCTTGGAGTGAGGTGAGAGAGCGCAGATGAGGGGGAAAGTCTGGAAAGGGAGAGAGGGGGGCTGCGCAGAGGGGCTGCGCAGTGGAGGATATGGCTGGACATACGCCTAAGGGACGTGGGTGGTGAGCACTCCTAAATCTGGGAGATGAAACGGACGAATCTTATACAACCCTGATTGAGGGGGTTTCTGAGTCTACCTCCAACACAGAAGGGGGCCCAAAAGGAGCTCGCCCTCAACACAGATCTGAAGTCGCACCCCGCAATTCCAAATCACCCCAAACCTGACCACCCTGGAGGCCACCCTGGTGTCTGGTCGGCCTCAACTCAGAGGAGACACTGCTCGCCTTTTGCTCTCGCCACCCGTCCTCCTCCCTGCCGCTCCCAGACTGGGTGGCGAGGCATGCAGCTGGTACACCACCAACCATCTCCCTGAAGCAGAATAAGGCAGGCCCGTCAGGAACCACATTTGAGCACATTCGTGACTCTGCCCTCACAAAAGACTGCCTCTCTAAGACAACGCTCTAAGTTCACAGTTAACCGGGATTTTCCAATCATTCCACGGGGTTTGTCTCGTCGATTTATTAACCACACGAGTTGATGGAAGTAAGACCTCCGCAGCCCACCTGTCTGCTACTGACAGCTCCTGAAACAGAATAGGGCAGGCCCGTCAGGAACCACATTTGAGCACATTCGTGACTCTGCCCTCACAAAAGCGGACGTCCTCACCCATCTTCACTCAACACTAACCTACCTGGGCGTCTCTCCCGCAGGCTGTCGGTCTTCCTAACCGCCTCGTACCTGCTAGCGCTCACAAAGCTTGGAGGTGGCACCCGGCCTACGGCTGTCTGTCCATCCGAGCTTGGATGAGGTAGATGCCCATCCAAACCCATCCAAACCAGCTCGTTCTCCAGGTGGATCTGGCAAACGCATTCAACGCCATTGAGCGAGCAGCTGCGTTCAAGGGGCGTCACACCTCTGGAGTGCCTGTTCCGCTTCACTCGGCTATCCTACAGCCAACCGAGTGTTCTGGTCGTCAATCACAGACTCGAAAAAGACCCGCTCTGGGTCGCCACACTGCTGCTAAGTTCGAGGCTTGGTGCTCGTGGCCGTTGGCGGCAGGCCGCCTACTTGCAAACTCCCCTCCTCCCTCCCCCACCCCTCAGTCCCCAGAAGTCTCCCAAGTCTTCGTGGAGGAAGATCCTCGTGGGAGGAACAATTTTTCAGAACCGGAGGGTTGGGGGGAGAGGGGGGAAAGCAAGGGGATTGGCTCAAAACCAAGTGGCTTGGTGCTTTTGAATCGACTCAAAAGTCAGCTTGGGTGGGGGGGAGGGGGGGAAGCTATCAAGGGGGCTGGCTGAAAACCAAGTGGCTTGGTGCTCAGAGCCGGTGGCGGCAGGCTGCCGAGAACACGCTCTGTGCAGCCTGAAGCAGTCTGCCCCGCCTTCATTTGCGAGCGCGCAAACACGGCACCAGTGCTTCAGCAGGCGAGATCCCTCCTGCTGCCTCTCCAGGTCCACATGGATCCCCCCGCATCCTATCTACCAGGTCCTGCTGCTCACCCGGTGTGTCAGCAGAGAAGCTTCCTATCTGCTATGCCCCACACCCTGGGTTGCCTTTCGGTGGGGGAGTGGTCCGCCAATTGGGGAGCGTTTGCTCCAAACGGCGCTTGGCGCCTGCCACCTTCACGCCCTCAGAGGAACCAGGGCAGAGAAGGCCCACCCGAATGGTCTCGCCACTCTGGAGGACATGCTACCCTTCCCTTCAGCTGACCTCGCCATTGCTCTTGCTTTCTTTCTCGCCATCACTTCCCAACCCGCTCTCTTCTCCGCCACGGTAACCTTTTGGCTCGGCCTCGCCCGTACCCGATCCCCCAAACCTGTGACTGCCGCGACAAAAACCAATTCAGGCGGGGTTTATCGCCCACAAGGAGACTAACCGGTTTACCTCGGTTGTTAACAAGTTGGCTGATCCGTCTATCCGGCACTCGTAATATGCTTTGCGACAACTCAGATGTGGAATCAGTCGACTCAAAAGCAGTGTGGCTCTGTGACGCCACCAGGTGCCGATCTGCCGTGACCAAACCAACTTTGGCGGGGGTTATCGCCCACAAGGAGACAAACGAGTCTACCTCGGTGGTCAACAAGTTCACTGATTCTTCTATCCGGCACTCGGAACCTGCTTTGCGACAACTCAGATGCGGAGTCGGTTCCTTTTTACCATCTCTTCCCCTACCGCACTGCCCCACTCCCCCTCTCGCCGCTCTTCTTCACTCCAAGTCCCCCTCCGGTAGACCGCGTGCCCCCTCAGGGTCCTGCTCCTTCAGGTGTGTCTCAGGTAGACCCACTCCCCTTGGTTGAGCCTGTCAAGGTTACTGGTGACTCTGGTGCTGCTCGGGGTGCTGCATATGGGGGTGCTGAGCCTGCGGTTGCGAAGCCTGAGCGTGCGGAGCCTAGAGGTGCTCAGCCTGCGAGTGCGGAGCCCGGGGTTGTTGAGCCTGGGCGTGTGGGGCTTGGGGGTGCTGAGCATGCGGGTTTGGAGCTTGGGGGTGCTGCCTAAGCGTGCAGAGCTTGAGGGTGCTGAGCATGCGGGTGTGGAGCCTGGGGGTGCTGAGTCTGGGGGTGCTGAGCCTAGGGGTACTGCGTCTACACTATAGGAGCCTCTCTCACCACAGCAACTGCGCAAGTGGTACACTCAGCGCACACACCTTCGGAGTGGCGCTGCTAGAGCTAGAGGCCCTGCAGCTGCTAGTTCTGGAGGTGCTAGAGGTACTACTCGTACTAGAGGTACTGGGGGTGCTGGAGCTACCAGTCCTAGAGGTCCTGCAGGTGCCTCGCCCCAGTGGTCTAGCCAGCGGGAGCCTCTCTCACCACAGCAGCTGCGCGAGTGGTACGCTTGGCGCACCCGCCTCCGGTGTCGCGCTGCTGGAGCTGGAGGCCCTGCCGCTGGAGGTGCTGGCGCTGGAGGCACTGGTGCTGCTGGTGCTGGAGGTGCTGGTGATGCTGGCACTACTGGTCCCGGGGGTGCTCGTGCTGGAGGTGCTAGAGCTGCCGGAGCTCGTGGTGTTGTGGGCTCTAGAGCTGGAGGCACTGGAGCTGGAGGTACTGCAGGTGCTGGAGCTGCTGGTCCTGGAGTTGCTCGTACTGGAGGCGCTGGAGCTGCCGGAGCTGGTGGTGCTGCTGGTGCTGGAGGTGCTGGAGGCACTAGAGGTGCTGGAGCTGCTGGTTCTAGAGGTGCTCGTGCTGGGGGTTCTCGAGCTGCCGAAGCTAGTGGTGATGTTGGTGCTGGAGGTGCTGGGGGTACTGGAGCTGCTGGAGCTGGTGGTGCTGCTGCTTCTGGAGGTGCTGGAGGTGCTAGAGCTGCTGGTCCCGGAGGTGCTCGTACTGGAGGTACTGGAGCTGTTGGAGCTGGTGGTGTTGCAGGTGCTGGAGCTGGAGACCCTGGAGCTGTTGGAGCTGGTGGTGTTGCAGGTGCTGGATCTGGAGACCCTGGAGCTGGGGGTGCTGGCGCTTGGGATGCTGGAGCTGTCAATACTGGTGCTGGAGGCACAATGCATCAGCGACTGTTTTTCGTTCCGCCGTTGCCGTCATCTCTGTCGCCACCTGGCTCGACACTTTCCTAGGTTCTTAGTCTCCCGTCTTCTACTGGCCGTACTCCTCCCATGCTGTGTCCACCGCCTGACTAGTCGTAGCCACAGTTACAGCCAGACTCCCCACTGCCTGCCCCTTTTCTTTACACTAAGCAGACTGACTCCCTTACAGAGCGTCGTGAGCCTGCGTCTCATCCTGCGTCGCCTGTTCGCGCTGTTCGCACTCGTAGGCGTCCTCCTCCTATTCCTGGCACTCACACTATGGCACTTCATCCTTCCTCTATTTCACTTTGAGTTCCCCTGCTGTCTCCTCCTGTGTCCTCTCTTCCTGACTTAGTTCGTGCTGCCAGTCCTACTGTCACCCATCTCCTAGCCACTGTTGTCACCAACCCTTCGTTTGACTCATTGCTGCCTCTGCCCTTGTTGCTGAGCTTGTCGACTTTGTTGCTAGCTGTCGTCTCGACTAAGGGACCCGTAATCGCCTTTACGTAAGGGTGCGGAGTCATAACCGCACTCTCTTGACTTCAGCACAGCTTTCATACAGGGCAGCCTCCACGAGGAGACCTGGCTGCGCCGCCCACCTGGCTTCACTGGGTCTTTTCCTGCAGGTACCCAGTAGAGCGTCCAGCGGCCAGTCTACGATCTTTGCCAGGCGCCTCATGAGTGGCACGACACACTGAGGACTACACTTGCCGGTCTTGGGTTCGCTCCTTCGACTGCTGACCCGTGGCTGTTTCTGCGCACCGACACTTTGCTGCCGCCGTTCTACATCCTCGTGTACGTCGACGACTTGGGTTTTGCCACTGTTGACACTGAGGCTCTGACTCTAGTGAAGTCGGAGCTGCGGAAGAGACACACGTGCACAGACCTAGATGAGCTGCACAGCTATCTTGGCTTGCAAATCACCCGGGACAGAGCACGGCGCACCATCACCCTGACTCAGTCACACATGGTGCACCAGGTCCTTCAGCGCTTCGGCTTCACTTGGTCCTCGCCACAATCCACTCCTCTTGCTACCGGTCATTCGCTCGCAACTCCACCTCTGGACGAGTCCCTAGAGCTGAGTGGCCCGTATCCAGAGCCTGTGGGCTGCCTCATGTACCTGATGACCTACACTCGACCTGACCTTGCTTACCCTCTCAGCATCCTGGCATGCTACGTTGCGCCCATGAGACACCGACCAGAGTAGTGGGAGGCCGTTAAGAGGGTGTTACGCTACTTGTGCAGTATGTCGGGCATGGGGCTCGTGCTTGGAGGACGGAGTCGAGTTGTTCTCACTAGCCACGTAGACGCGTCTTGGGTTGACAATTTGGCCACGCAGCAGTCGTCACAGGGTTACACTTTCAGCCTTGGCTCCGGTTCTGTTTCTAAGCGGTCTACCCGCTCGTCTTCTATTCTCCATTCCAGTTGTGAAATAGAGATCTACATAGGGGCCATGGCTGCACAGGAGTTACGCTGGCTCACCTACCTGCTGACCAACTTGGGAGAGCGGCCTAGTTCACCTCCAGTTCTGTACGTATACACCAAGGCTATGCTTGCCTTGTGTCACGAGCACAGACTGGAGCACAGGACAAAGCACATCACTTTGCATTACGTAGTTGCTCGAGAGTTGCAGCAGTGTGGTCAGCTTCGTCTTGCTTACGTGGCCACTCGGGCCAACAGTACTGATATATTCACCAAGGCACTTCAGCCCCGTGATCATCAGAGTTTCTGTACAATTTTTGGCCTTGTGCCTACTTTTCCTCACTTGCTCACTTCGTGACTTTGCTTGTACTGTGATCTATATACTTGTACCTGCATGCTTACACTTGCTAGGTTGTGATCACTGTACTACTTGTT